CTAAGGGATGGAATAAAAATATTGATGCCTGGTACAGAAAAATAAAAATGGAAATAATAAAGGAGCTTGATGATTTAGATAAGAGAGCTGAGATCATGGGGTTGAGTGCGGTGGATAGAAGTGAACAGAAAGAGCTTAGAGCCCAACTGAAAAGAGTAATGATGCAAGAAGAGATGAAATGGTTGCAAAGATATAAAGATTCAGAGATTAAAGATGGAGACAGAAATACTAGATATTATCATGCTAAGGTAAATGGGAGAAGAAGAAAGAACAAAATTGTTTCCCTTGAACAGGAGGAAGGGATTATAGAAGGAGATGATAAGTTGATGGAATATATCACCAAATTCTATAAAGAATTATTTGGACATCCTGAAGAATCTAGTATCTCATTAATAGAGATGGAGATGGATAAAATCAATGAATAAGAAAGAGAGGAGCTCTTGACACCTTTCTCCTTAAGTGAAATTCATCAAGTGGTATTTGGGATGAAGAGGAATAAAAGCCCTGGCCCTGATGGATTCCCTGCTGACTTCTACCAAGATTTTTGGGAAGTGGTCAAGTGGGATCTAAAAAACCTAGTTGATAGTTTTGCTAAAGGGGAAATTAATATTGCTAGACTCAACTATGGCATAATTACTTTGATCCCAAAAAATAATGATGCTAAACAAATTCAGAAGTTTAGGCCCATTTGCCTGCTGAATGTTAGCTTTAAAATCATCAGTAAGATTCTGATGAACAGGCTGGCTAAGTGTGTGGCCCCTGTGATTTCTAAAACCCAAACTGCCTTCATTAAGGGCAGGTATATTATGGAAGGGATTGTGATTTTACATGAGGCTCTAAATTCCTTTCATAAGAATAAAGAAGATGCTCTAGTTTTTAAAGTAGATTTTGAGAAAGCATATGACAAAATTAAGTGGCCCTTTGTTATACAAATGTTGAAAATGAAGGGATTTCCTGACAAATGGTGTGACTGGGTGATGGAAACTATGAGAGGGGGACATGTTGGAATTAGAGTGAATGATGAAATTGGCCCATACTTTAAAACCTTCAAAGGATTGAGGCAAGGAGATGCCATGTCACCTTTGCTGTTTGACATTGCTGCTGATGCCCTAGCCTTTATAATGAGTAATGCCCTGAAACATGACTTGGTTAAAGGGGTATTAAAAAGTGATAGAGGGAAGGGGATTAATATATTACAATATGCTGATGATACCATATTCCTGATAAAGGATGAGATAGAAAGTGTTAAAAACCTTAAACTCATACTAGGAGCTTTTGAGCAAATGTCTGGGCTTAAAATAAACTTTCATAAAAGTGAACTGCTGTTGTTTGGCAAAGCCAGGGAAAAACAAATGATCTACCAAGAAATACTAACATGTAAGATGGGGGATTTGCCCATAAAATACCTGGGGATGCTTGTATCTGAGAACAGAATCAGGAACTCTCATTGGGGATGTGTGACTGACAAAATTGAAAAAAGATGTGGGTGTTGGCAGGGGAAGTTACTGGGTTCCATTGCAGGGAGAATAACTTTGGTGCAAGCCTGCCTAACTAATATACCTTTGTTTATGATGTCCTTTTATGCTGTGCCTAAAGGGATTATAAAGAAAGCTGATTTCTTCAGATCCAGGCTGATATGGCAAGAGGATGAGAATATAAAAAAATACCACTTAGTGAATTGGAAAGATTGTTGTTTGCCCAAAGAAATGGGGGGCTTGGGGATATTGAATTTGGAAATAATGAATATTGCACTTCTAGCTAAATGGTTTTGGAAAATGGAAAATGAAAAAGGTCTATGGCAGGATATTTTGGAAGACAAATATAGAAAGGGGGGGGGGGTGTTTGGCTTTAATATGTAAAAAGCCAGGGGACTCACAATTCTGGGTTAGTCTTCTAAAAATCAAAGAAATCTTTTATAAATTTGTAAAGAAAAAGGTGGGGGATGGGAGAAACACTAGGTTTTGGGAATATTCATGGGTTGATGATAAACCTTTGAGGGAGGCTTACCCTAGACTATATGATATATCCTTTGACCACAATATTACTGTGGAGGAGGCCATACAGAAAGGTTGGCATGGATTTAGATTTAGAAGAACCCTGCATGGAGAGACTGTGGAACTTTGGAATAGTCTCAAAAAAAGATGTGAGGAAATTCAAATGCAAGGAGGGGAGGACAAAATCCTCTGGACCCTCACTGCTGATCATAAATTCTCTGTGGGATCCTTATATAGGAAATTGATAGCTGTTGGGATAAAATTCCCACAGAAATACTTATGGAAGATTAAAGTGCCTACGAAACTGAAAGTGTTTTTATGGTTGATCAATAAAAAGAGCATCCTGACTAGAGATGTATTTCTTAAAAAAGGTTGGAAAGGTGAGAAAAGATGTGTTTTATGTGGGAAAGATGAATCAATTGATCATCTATTCTTCTCTTGCTCGGTTGCTTCATTGTTATGGAGTTTGGTCAGATGTGTGTGTGGTTTTAAAACTGTGCCATCTAGTGTGAAAGATTGTTTTGGAGACTGGATTAGAAAATTTAACAAAGATAATAAGAAACTGGTGCCGGTGGGGATTTCAGCCCTGCTTTGGTCAATTTGGAAAAGCAGAAATGCAATTATCTTTGAGAATAAAAGGATAAATGATCCTTTATATGTTGTCAAGCTAATGTGCAGGTGGTTAATTAACTGGGCTATCTTGCAGATAAAGGAGTCGCCAAGAAAAACGCTGGAGCTGGGAGTAAGGGTGCTAGAACAGGCAGCAAATGAAGTGTTCACAGCCAAGCAAGGGTGGAGGATCAATGTTGCTAGATTGAAATGAAGAAAATCTCTCCTGCGGGGGGTGAACCTAATGTTTGATGCTCCTGTAGATGATCCTTGGCTCCTTTTTTGCTACTTTTGCTTCTGCGTTGATGTAATGGCTCTCAGGGTAGTTTGAACTCGGTCTGGCGGTTAGCTATTTGATCCTATGGAGTCCGGTTGGTTTTTTTCGTTTCATTTACTTTCAAACTCTTTTGTAGAACTGTGTGGTTTTCAGTAATGAAAATCGGAAGGGGCAAGCCCTTCTTTGATAAAAAAAAGGCTTTGACAAGTACATAAATGAAGATACACTATAATATATCTGATATAGCCCTTCAGCCAACAAAATAACCCCGCCAGGCGGCCATCCATAGTTCAAATCCATCCCTCCAACACCCCCCCCGTAAAGTCTGTGTAACTGACTACAGAGGCGACGTCTCTATCGGCGATTGTTTCCTCGCATGGTTCGTCAGGTGGGGCATAGGTCTTGGAGTTATAGTGGCGGGTCTCGGCGATTGCAAGTCACCTTCCTTAGGATTCGGGTCATCTTCTTCTAAGCTCTGCTCGACGACGCGACATTCTTGTTCTATAAGCCGACTGTACTTATGATCGTTCCCTAAGATCCAATTAATCCACTTAGAATGGTGGGGACGATGAGAGGAGGGGGGGGGTTCCCTGTGGGCTAGCCATCGACCGAATCTCGAGAGGCTTGGTCCGGTGCGGCAACGGCTCGCTTTTCTGGTGGCGATGAGTGGGCATGTGGCCTACGAAGTAGTGCTGGCGGGCGCCGATGAGGCCCACCCCCATCCAGCTTCGTCGATGTAGGGGGCGTGTCCTTTGGCTTATCTTGGTCTCTAACCAGATATGCCCGGGCCAGGCGTCTCTTATGCTTGTGGGTCAACATCGGTGCTGCCTAGTACCGGCTGTTGTGGGGCAAGGGGAGGCAGCCCAGCCCCAGTCGAATGCCATCCACATTGAGTTGCTCTAGGGGCTGAAAGGGGATGCCTTCTGCCCTCCTTCACCAGGCGACGACCATGTGCTTTAGAGGTTGTGGGTGTCGGTCATGAATCCTAGGGCGGGGATCCTGGATGGCACAGTTGCATGATTGGCTCACCGGTTAGCAGTGTGGACGCATTGGTTGCTACTCCTCTTGATTGTGTGGATGACGAGGAGTGTGTCGACTAGTGATCCAGCAAGGTCTTTGTGGTCGACAATGGCAGTGGGCCTTCCCACGGGGCGGGTTTGATGGCCTAGGTATCTTGACGTGGCACGAGCGAGATGCTGAGCCTCGAAGCAGTCGGTGGTGACGCGTGTGGGTGTCGTGTCTCTCTGAAGGACGGCGTGTAGCCCCCCTCCCCATACCAGAGCTTCCGATAGAAACCCAAGTCCATCTTATTGGTTTCGGCAGCAGCAATGTTGTGGTATTGTCAACCTCTTGGGGTGGCATCGTGGAGTTTAGTACCTTCAGGCAAGCTGGACTCGTAGTTCGAAGATTCTTCGGCTTTGGTGTGAGGTGATTTAGTTTGTCTCCTACCTTTTACAAGTGACTGCATCGTCCATATTGTCGGCCCTTGCTGATTGTAGGCAAGATCAGCGCTCCTCAAACCAGAGCAAGAGGGCAGAGGGTCCTCTTTGGCGACAGTTTGGTCGCGGTTGTGCAACGATGTCTGGAGCTTTCTTAACGAGATGCAAATTCGTTCTTCTTCGGTGGCCACCGGTGTTTTTTGCATGGGTTGGGCTAATCTTTGTGCTCATGCTCGATGGCAAGTTGATGGAGTCCGGTACTGCATATCTTGTGCATTGCTTTTGTGTTGTTTTCTTTGTTGTCTCATTCTTTTTCTTTAATCTACTTTGCGAGAGTTTTTTTTTCTCATCACCTTGTATATATCATTTTAACGTGTGGCATTATAAATAAAGCGGGATAAAGGTTTTTTTTCCTTTGAATATAGCCTTTTATATACTGGATATAGGAGGATGTCCCAAAAATGAGGAGTCGTTGAAGACTTACGGTTTCAAACCGTAAGCATCAATGCAAAAGTATAGTGGTAGTAGCAGGTTGCATTGTTCACTAGTTGACTAGCGTGCACTATTAATACATGTACGTACCTCCCCTTCATCGTCCCGTCTCAAAACTCTCTCTCCCTCCCTGCCTCCATCTCTCCCTCTCTCTGGCTAAGGTAGCAGTGTAGCGTTCCGGTCTAGAAGATGAGCTCTATTGGCATGATGGAGGCGAGGATGCCGCCGGGGTTCCGGTTCCACCCACGGGACGAGGAGCTGGTCCTCGACTACCTCCTCCACAAGCTCACCGGCCGGCGCGCATACGGTGGCGTCGACATCGTGGACGTCGACCTCAACAAGTGCGAGCCATGGGACCTTCCAGGTACGTACCCAAGTTCCTACTTGCTAGTACGTGCCTACTCATCTCTCAACGTCACTGCTGTCTGTTCGTGGCAACCTCCCTTCGTTCATTAGCCCGGCCGGCGCCGGATCGAGCTCCGTTGGTTCTTGTTCGTGCATGCAGTTCATGGCGCTGGCGACCAACTTATTTTTTGTGGAAAAAAAGAACTTCATGATTTCTTCATGGAAAGGAAGGTTGATCGATTAATTCTGCTTCTGCATGCAAGTGAAAACAATCCGGAGACCTTGGGTGTGTTAGACTGACGTGATAACAAACTACACCTCGCTGAAATCATATTTTCGTCTAATTTATTAAAATATATTTGGACAGATTGGTTGCATGCTAAAAGAAAATGTTTTGATGGATTCGTCTCTCTTCTCCTTGTGCAGAGGCGGCGTGCGTGGGCGGCAGGGAGTGGTACTTCTTCAGCCTGCGCGACCGCAAGTACGCCACCGGCCAGCGCACCAACCGCGCCACGCGCTCCGGCTACTGGAAGGCCACCGGCAAGGACCGCGCCATCCTCGCGCACGGCGAGGCGTTGGTGGGGATGCGCAAGACGCTCGTCTTCTACCAGGGGAGGGCCCCCAAGGGGACGAGGATGGAGTGGGTCATGCACGAGTTCCGCCTGGAGGAGGAACGACACCGCCACCACCAGCAGCAGCAGAAGGGCGGTGCCGCCGCCGCCGCCGAGCCGAGGTGCCAGCTCAAGGTACGTAGGATCATATGCATATCTGCTTCTTCTCTTCCTTTTTTTCTTTCTTGGGTTCATCTGGTTCGCGTGACCCCGGCGGTATTAGGACACGCCACTCTCATGCGGAATTGAGGAGGAGAGAGAGAGAAGAGAGTTTCTCTTTCCTTTTTCATTTTCGGTTCATTATTTCATTACAAGTGAAAATTGCACAGTTTTTAGTACGAAAAAAAACAGAAAATGCATAATTTTGTGGCTAAGATGGATATCACTACCTGTTTTTTTCCACACGAAACTAAGTTCGTTCTACAAAGTGTGCAATTTAAGTTTCTGTAAATTTGATTGCAATAAAAATATATTATGTAAATGTATGCTTTCAAACTTTTTTTTTGGGAACTCTCAAAATTCTTAACTAGTAAGTAACATATTCGTATAAGAACAGTCAAAGCTGAATCTATTACCCGCAAAAGAAAAAAAAAACAATCAAAGCTGCATCTATTGATCTACGCGTGTATTTTAGAATGAGGCATATGTATTCCACGTGTTAGCCCATTTATATAACTGTCATCATACGCGTCGTCGTCGTCGTCATGTCTGTCATGCTGGAATTTCGTATGATCTCTACTGTTTCTGTTGAACGAGTGATCTTCTCTGACTCGGACCGTTCTAATTAATTGTACAGCCTGCAAGTTGCCAATTTTAACATTCAGGTCAACTCCACAGTCCATGTCACTGAAATGATCGTTCCAGTGTTTACGTCTGGCAACTAACTAACTAAATGAGATCAATTAATAATTTACTAAACATTCCCTTGATAAGGATTAATCTGACTCGCATGTGCTAGTTCTTTACTCCAAGGTGACAGTTTAAAATTATTGATGTCCCTGTGATTGCTATTTCTTCAAGTTAACTAACTTCCAGAAAAAGAATTTCATAAAGTAACCAGATTGCTGCCGAGATTGGCTACTGAATTAGTGTAATCAATGGGAGCCTTCTCAGCATAACCTAGTACTTCATATGAGATTGACAGTTCAAGGAATGAATACTTTTTCAGTTTCAATTGTTACATACATGAACTCACACTTACCATTTGAACCTTGCCATCCTTTAAAAAAAATACAGGAAGACTGGGTGCTATGCAGGGTGTTCTACAAGAGCAGAACAACCAGCCCAAGGCCACCATCTGAAGAAGCCTGCACATTTTTCAGCGAGCTGGGCCTTCCGACTGTGCCGCCGCCACTTGCCCCCCTTATCGACGCCTACATCGCCTACGACAGCGGCACCGCGATGAACACCATCGAGCAAGTGTCCTGCTTCTCCGGCGTACCGGCACTACCGCTCAGGGGATCGGTGAGCTTCGGGGACCTGTTGGGCTGGGACAACCCTGAGAAGAAGGCCATCAGGACAGCACTGAGCAACATGTCAAGTAACAGCAATTCCAAGTTGGAGTTGACCCCAAACTGGAGCCAGGAGAACGGCTTGTCACAGATGTGGACACCCCTCTGAATCTTGATATGAGATTATTGTGCTACTGTACTAGTTGAAGTGTGGTGGTGACTAGTAAGTAATTAGATGACCTATTCTTTCTAATGATATTGGAGTAGTATTGGACTACTGGTTGATGCAGTGTCTGTTCCCAGGGATTTGATGGAAGTGTGTGTTGATTTACAAACCAGTAGATTAGTGGAATGGCTTGATATAGCATCTGTACATAGGAATGCTAAGAAATGTCCTATTTTAGTTTTACTCTTTCTTTCTACTCTCCAAATGTAATGTAACCTCCAGCTGAAAGTAAATATGTGGATAACCCCTATTTGTCATTCTGAAACATGGTGTGATAAATTGTTCTTCAGTGCGCTAAACATGTTGTCAATATGAAGCATCCCCACGTATGTAGGCAAATTATTTCCTTCAAATACTATCACTTAATTCCCCAGAACTAGCCAGAGGACTTTCGCTCGCGCTGCCTCCAGGGGGGCGGCTCGGGCGAACCCTAGCCGCCGCCGCCCCCGACCCCCATCCACTTGCTTCCCCCGCCGCCGCCGGAGGAAGCCGGCGAGCGAAGCTCGTCCGGCGGACGGCGGTGGCGGGCTCGCCTCCTTTTCTCCTCGAGGGGGCCTCTGGCTGGCGCGCAGCGGTGCCCCTGGGCGCCATGCGGGGCGGCGGAGTCTGGATGCTGGGGCGGCGGCCCCAGGGGTTCTTGGCGGGGCTGGGCAACCACGGTTGCGTGGGCAGCGTGGGTGGCCGGCCGTGGCTTCCGGTGGCGGCGGATCTAGGGTCCCTGTCCAGATCCGTTTTGCAGGGGTGATTTGGCGCCTCCTACTCCCCGGGGCGGCGGCCCCGGCCGATGGGCGCGGTGCAGCCGGCGGGCTGTGCCGGCGGGCTCTGGTGGGCAGCCTCCCACGGCCGCGCGGGCGGCGTGGGGGCTGCGTACGCTGGCGCAGTGGCGGCTCCTCGCAATCCGTCATGGCTCCATGTAGAAGATCCGCCCCTGCTTCGATCTGTCCCGATCCGTGCTGGTGCCGGTCCTTGGCGGCGGCTTCGGCGTCCCCTATGGCCGGCCTGGCGGATCTGGCGTGCGGGTGAGGTTCCGGGGGAAACCCCTGGCTGGCGCGGCAGCCTCCCCAAAGTCGACGCCTTTGGCGCCGATTCCCTTCCTGAAGGCTTCGGGGTGGATCCTCTCCCTTCCGCCTCCTCCTCGAGCTATGGCGAAAGCTTTTGTTCCCCTGGTCTGGGCGTCGACGGCACCCTGGTGTCGTGCTCCTTCTTGAAGGCGGCGGCTGGGAACAGCTCTTGGTGGCGGGGCTGCTGGTGGCGTGGTGGCGGTGTGCTTCGGCCTTCTACTTGGTGCCGCGCCTTGCTTCACGGGACCAGCGGACAGTTTCTTAGGTGGAGCGGTGCTTCATCCATACATTGATGGCGACGGATCTTGACGGCGTGGCGCAGTGCAGATTCGGAGTTCGATGTGGGAGGATGGACTCGCGCAGGAGGACGACGCTGTCTGGCGTCGTGGTGGCGTCGATGGCAGTGAGGCCTGGCACGGTTCATGCAACAGTTCAGCTCTGAAGATGGATTGATGGTACGTGGCTGCGGCGGCCTCATACCCGGCAGGGGGCCTGGTTGACGAGCACGCCGGACTGGTGGGTACCCATACCCGGAAGGAGTCCTGGTTGGGACCTCAGGTCTAAGATGTTAGGTTTGGCTGCGAGGTCTGTTTGGTATTAGGCCCAGACCATCAGCGCCCCTTCATCAGTTAGATAGGAGTAGCGACAGAGGTTGCGAAGATGGTGGCTTTGGTCTTACTGTTGTACGACTTTGTAAGGTCTTGTGTTAATAATCAATAAAGTGGCCGTATGCATCTTCCAGATGCAGCGGCCGGGGTATTCCCCCTTTTCGAAAAAAAAACTTAATTCCCCACAATAAATTGATAACAACACACTATGACTGGCAGTTGGGATTCTGCTTGGACGTTCAACTACAACATATCTGTCCAACTATTATAATTGACCGTTTATCCCATATGACTCGCTAACCCTTACCTTAGCAGTTTTTTTTTATCTTTTGCCTCCGTTTCGAAAATAATAATAATAATTGACCGTTTATGCCATCAACAAAAACTTGGCTCTTGGGATTTTCAATTTATATTTGGTGTTCAACTGGTTAGTTTTTACTAGTATAAGACACATTTGAAGCCATCATGTCACAACTCCAGTTGTTCCTTTTTAGACTTATTTTTGCCAACAAATCACAGCTCCAGATTGGTGCCCTGGAGGTTCTTTTATAGAATTCACAAAGCACTCAAGGGGAATAAGAAAAACAACGCCATTGATATTTAGGGGGGGGGGGGAGAACATATGACGTAACTGTTTGACAATATGCTAGCTCAGTTCATACTTGCTTGTTATTTTTCCATTTGATATGGTATCCAAGTATGCACATCTGACAGAGTTTGCATGTCAGTAAATTTTGAGAAAATGAAATACGATAAAAGTACCATTCATTCATGCAAAATCTAATAATGAAAATGGCACATGACTTTTATAGACATTTACTGGTCGAATTTCAGAAACTCAGGTCACCAACCATTCAACAGCATTCCAGAACTCAGGTCAGTTTGCAGCTCCAGGCTCATTCAGTGCCAGTCACTCCATGCACTGCTCCTTGTGAGAAGACCGCAAGCTTCAGAGCCACTATACAGTTTTATCTACCGTTTCCATGGAACAAACAAACAGACACGTCTACTGACTTACCAGTACTAACAAGTTGATGCCGATGCACCTGTGCCATTTACCATGTTCGACATTTGATCAATGGTGCAAATTGCAATTTTACCCCAGCGCCATATTTTACTGTCTTACTGACACAGTGGAACAGCAACAAGCTCAAGCTGGCCCTGGTCTAGAAGCAGTATGCAACAACATCAACCTAGTTCCCACCACCTTGCCCTCCCTCTGGGCTCCTTATCCTCCTCTGCTTCGCTGAACTCTCGGCAGCTTTGCCTTGCGCCTTGCGCTTCTCCCATGAGCCATTATTGGTGCGGAAGAAGTCTTCGAGCTGACGGGCAATCATGCCATCCCCTGAATATGAGATCTTCACCTTCAGGTTGTTGTAAGTACATGATGTTTCACTTGGGTTGCTGTTATCTCTGCTGTTGCAGGCCTTGTATAGAACAATGAACCGGTGTAAAGGATTGGCCACATGCTTAAACTCTCGTAGCAAACATTCATCAAAGTAATACATTGTGCATACCTTCTCGAGGTGAACGAAAAGGTTCTCTAAGTTGGGAGATTTCTCAAGCATGGTTGATAATGCATTAAACTCGCTATCTATACACCATTCACCAAGGGATAGAGTCCTCAGGTTTTCGAACACAGGGCAGTTCTCCAGTTCCGTAGTCAGCAGAACCTGCACATTAGTGTTGAAGTTGGTACTGATGGTCCACTGACATGTGACATCTAGGGCACATGTTAGATCTACCGACTAGAAAATAACCAACCAAGCTGGTTCTATGGCATTTCATATTTAAGATATCACGTAGGACACCAAAGAGCAAACAGTAAGTTAGGTTCAAAGTTCAAAAAGCCAGAGACTAGTGGTTGAAACCTTTGTAGAGATAAGATGTTAAGACTCTGAAGGTAGTAACTTCAATGTTCTTTTTTCTTGCAGTAGGCAACTATCCAATAGGCTGATCCACTAGTAAAATGATACTCCCCCCGTTTTTATTTACTCTGCGTATTAGGTTTGACTGAAGTCAAACTTCGTAAAGTTTGATCAAGTTTATAGAAAAAAATATAAACATTTATCATAATAAATCTATATGACGTGAAAATACATTCAATAATGAATCTAATGGTATTGATTTTTTATTGTATATGTTAATATTTTTGTTTATAAACTTTATCAAAGTTTACAAGGCTTGACTTTGACCAAATCTAATATGCGGACTAAATTGAAACTAATATATTTGACCAAAGTTAATATTTTTGTTATTGTATATGTTAATATATTTGACCAAAACTAATATGCGGACTTTGACCAAAGTTTACAAGGTAATGCTAAAGCTAATATACGTCTCAACGATGTAATTTCAGTTCTTCATCTAGACAGATTCATAATGACTTGAGAGATTCACCACCAGAAGAAGAAATACCAAAATGTTATTCACGCATTACATTTCACGATAGTACTCTAACCCCTTACCCCCTTCCCATGCAGAAAGCATAAAAGAACGAGAAGGTGATAGCATCAGCGACATGACTAAACGTACCTCTCCTCGATGAGCTGACAAGTTCATTGTTCTGACATTCGAGAGGCTGTGAAAAATACGTTTGCCACCATAAACTACAATATCACCGCTTCCATGATGCTCACGATCCCTTGCATGCTCATCAGCAACTGCACAGCTATCATCATCAGATTGAGATTGAGATTCATTGATGTCAGAGTCCTCAGCATCAGTATATGTGTCGCCATCGTTCTCATCATCCTGTACTGACCATGGGCGAGCATGTTGCAAGCAAGCGTCATCAAGCATGATAGTGGCCGTCACTAGTGACCCCGAGTTCTCGATCTGAGGAACAAAACTGCGAGGTCTGATGCATCGCAGGGCTGCAAGGTTCGAAGCGTCAACCGTGAGGCCGTTAAAGATTCCACAGTTGACCATAGTCAAACGCTTGAGTGAGGTTGATCGAATCTCCGAGGCAAATATGAGAGCTTTCCTGAGCTCTAGTTCTTCCAAAGAAGTACACCTAGAACGGAGCCCCGAGAGGGAGCGGCTGTGCAAGGACACGTTGGCGAGCTGCAAGATGTTGAGGTTGCCAGAAAGGAAGACCGTGCAATCCAGCTTGAGGATTGGGCGGTGATGCTTGGCGGAGAGCTGGATAGCTGTGGCATTGCGCCTGAGAGCATGAACGATCCACGTGTTGGCGTCGTCGTGGTTCCAGTGCAGCCGGAGCGTGTTCAACGGCTTGCGGTCCCGCCGGAGAAGCAGGTGCTTGACGAACTCGGCGTACCAATCCTGGTCAACGCGGCGGGAGCAGGCGCACAGCCAGCGGATGTCGAGGCACGGCGCGGAGGCCCAGGTGCGGCGCCACCGCCTCGAGAGCGCGCTCGTGCGGACCACCTCCCACGCCTTCATGTAGGAGAAGACGTGGTGGCACAGGTCGTCCGTGAGGTCGCTGATGCGGTCGCGTCCACCGCCTCCCGCGCCGGTGGCCCCCGCTGCCGCGTCGTGCGGCGGCCCCCGCCCCGCGCCCGCCTGAAGCATTTTCTCGAACAGGTTGCCTGCACGCACAACGACGATCAGCATCAAACCACACGGGAAGCGAAAATCTTGGCAAACGCGCAGCAAGAAACCAAGAAGAGCTAGCGATGCTGCACTGCGACGAACGGGCTCGAGATCGGAACAACAACTCGTTCGGATTATGGTCCCTCGCATGGCCAGCAGCGGAAGGGAGGAGAAGAACTTACGGCTGGTTGAGGCTGGCTGGATGAAATCGGGCGATGGGCGGGCGTTCTCGGCTCTCGCTGCTTCTGCTTCGGGTGCACGCAGGTCGGGAAATGCAAAAGTGGGACGATAATCGGGCTGGTAAAAGAGTGAAGGGGTATTTAAAGGGGGGCAACATAAAAAAGAGATCGTAATAATTCCTCTGATCTAAATTAATTGACGCAACCTCTATACAAAAGAAGCAACATTGTATAGAGGCTGCGTCTATTAATTCAGAGGGAGTAACATATGTTTCGTCCAACTTTTAATGCAGTAGTATATTTCACGAAAATACCAAATAGAGGCCGAGCTCTATAAATGTGGAAAACTTCAAAACTCAGACTCAAGCACATCATTGATCAGAAAACCAGCATACTTAGAAGCAACATAGAAGAATCGTGAGTTATTTACTCAAAACCATCACACTTGAGGCTAGAGTCACAACTTGATGCCACATTTGTTTCAGGGCACAAAAAACCACCAACTCTGTGCCTAACCAGTAACGCGGAGCACTAATCGTCGAGATTGCTCCAGAAAACAGCGAACCCGACAAGTAGGGCCTGCATGTCAGGCTGACATGGCGAAGACCAAAAAGTTTGACCGACTGATGTGGCAAATAAGACGCGGAACCCACCTGTCTATGAGTAAACGGCCATCTTCTTCCCATCTCTATTTCTCTGGGGCATTTCATCAAACAACTTCTGGGCGGCCGTTGGGGAGCTTTTTCTTGCAGGCATGGGGATGAGCTTGACGCGGCCAGAGCATGGGGAAGAGTGTCGTGACCAAGGGAGGCCCACGAGGCCGAGGAAGGTCATCGGGGTGCCGAGGACGGTCAGATTCGAGGCCACAGAGCTCGCCAACGGCTGTCAGAGCATGGCGTGGCGGGCGAGTGCACTCGAGGTCGGAGAGGTCGAAGGGGGAATGTCCAGGAGCTCAGCAGAGATGTCTCACAGCATACCAGGAGAACGGAAGTGGCCGGGGTGCGGTAGAGCCGACGAATTTGAAGGTGACGCGGCGGCGGCCGAACCGGAGTAAGACAACGAACTCGTCCCCGTCGGACCTCCTACGTTCTATTTACGTGTCTGTTCGAAGTAGCGCATCGAGTCGAGGTTTTAAGGCAACGAGGCGGGGCTGTTTGTGGTCGTTCGCCATGGTGGCTGATGACTCGTGGCCATGGCAGCGCTCTGTGCGCGAGCTTGAGCGGCAACAAAGAATAGGGAGGAAGAGAGAGGCGGCGTTGGAGGGAGGAGAGCCTAGCCTTTGGAGGGGATTAGCTAGGTTCCCGGGGCTTGGCTGAATCAGCGCGGGCGGCGCCATGGGTGGATCGGCACGGGCACGGCGTGCATAGATAGCTGCAATGCACCAGATTTGGCTGT